GTGGACGTAAGCGCGTTACTCAGGGTACGCGCCGGTGAACAATGATTCTCTCGTGATCCATTACGTCGAAACGGTCAGTTGATCAGGATATATAATCGATGAATATCTCCCTGATTTTTTTATTTTTGTCGTGTCTCAACTAACATTGTGCTCGACAATGTCGGTAATTTTTAAACGAGCTCTCGTATAAACGTCTTTTTTGGTTCCTCGCACAGTTCTAATAGCCGGAAGTATATTTCATTTTTTGGATTATTATTCTTTCTTTTGAATGGCTAAGATATTAAATGATAATTGTGATTCATATTTTTTAATTGAATTTCACTGCGATATAAATGAAATGAGTTCAACATTTTGCGCCTAGATATAGAAAAAATTGTTGTAATCTTTTTATCGTGTGATCTTTATTTCTTTCTTTTTCCACAAAAAATTGCTAGTGAAGCAATGATAAACACTTGTAATCGATATCTAGTAATGTGAAATTAGAAAGAGAAGACTTCAACTTTTAAAAATCAACTTTCTATAGTTTATTCAATAGCTCATCGTTAGTTTTCACATATATGCACCTTTCAAATCTTTGTTTTCACACTTCCCGTAAAAGAAATATTTAAAAAACAATTTTAAGAGGCTTATTTTACACTATAACCCTCAATTCCGAAGAAATTAGATTGAACTAGTCTTAATTGATAGATTTTTGTTTGTATATTCTCAAACAAGTCCATTTTTTGCACATCCTTAATTAAAAAGTTATTAACGAATGAATGTTTGGAGGGGCTAATTTCACACGACAAAAGGTACGTTTTCGACTCGAATTCTAAAGAAACACGTTTAAAATAGCACCAATCAATGATATCTTGACACAAATATCTGCGGAAAAAGAATGCGCGAGCTCAAGAGAGATCGTAAAAAAAATTAAGGTGTCTGAGACTTGGCGTGAATAGTATTCTTATTATATATGTTATCGATTCTTTAAACGACGAAACTTCTCTCTTCAGATGTATCCAGATCGAATGAAACATGCGAATGAATACGAACGAACGTACTAGTAGCTTATAAATAAATGTGGATGACACATTGCGAGTACAAACGAGCTCAGATTCACATCGACAAATATGCTTCTCGTCTCTTTTCGAGTTACATCGAAGGAAAAGCAATCGCTACATTCATCGAACTATATCTGAAAGTGTTCGTTTGTAATTGTTCATTCTTATTAGTTCGGTTGGCAGTCATTCTTTCACAATCAGAGCGCATTTACGTTCTCGCAGTGATCGCGGAGGGCCTTGGCGTTCTCCACGTAAAATCGTTGCAGGAATAATATTTACACTTGCGGGCATAAACCGAATTCCATGCCGTCATCATCTTGATCGACACGATGCGCCCAAGTGTATCGAAATAGACGCCAATCGAAAGACGTATACCGCAAAGTAGTATAAACAGATTTTTCTTATCAACGTTAGAAAGAAAATATCACTGTGACATTTATAGAAACTATGAGACACCGAAGAGAAATATGTAATTAAGAAAAAAAGATTGTTTTTTTTAAATAAAATTTTCTTTTCTATTGCAGCATATACTAATAGTAAAATAATATTATTTCAGAGATATTAGATTTCAGTATTTGCGCACAAATGCAAATTTTATTTATAAATTATATTAAAAATACATTTCTTTCTTTAAAAAAAGAACTTGAAATTTATGTTTTTTACTTTAATAATTTAATACAAAGAATTGAATAATTACAATAATAAACATTTACTAAAAAAATTTTTTAATTCCTTATTCTTATAATCTTTCCAATTCTTGAGGTTATTCTTAAAGTATATATATGTATATTATGTGTATATATATATGTATATATATATATATATACATATGATAATTTCAATCCTAAATTAGCTAATATAATTTTACCCAGTAAACAAGAAACGTTCCAAAACATTTCAGTAACATTGCAGCAACGTTGTAACGTTACTGACACGTTTCAAAACGTTACTAAAACGTTTTTTGTTTAGTGGGTAGCGTAATATTTCAGTTTTCTAAAGTCTATTCTGACGCAAATTGCAGTGTTTTACTTTGCATCCATGTGATCTCAACAGGCAACGGTTCAATGCAATGCAGCAATTTTCTCGCGGAGAAATTGGACCTCTTCCAGTCTTCATTAATGACAGGAAGAAACGTGCGAAGGACGATGATTCTTGAGTTAATGTGTCGTAAGGTCGATCGAGAAACTCGTTTCTTCCGTCAACTCGGTCTAATTTATAAGGGCGGGTAAAATATCTTGTAGAATATAGTTATAATATAGTTATTCGAATAGTTCAACACATATTAGAAGATTAAAAGTCCATAATTTTATAAAACCAAACTTCTGGAAAATGAAAATACAAAAATAAATTTTTTCAAATAACTAATAATATAATATAATATTATATAAAATTAAAAGTAATATAATTTAAAATTAAAAGTTTTAAAATTTCTTTTAATTTTGGGCAAACGTTTCATTATATCTTCGTAAATAGATTTTATTAAAAAAGAAAGAATGAAAATATAGCAGAATTGTGTGTGTGTATGTGTATATAAAATTTTTTGTCGCATAAAATACATATGCATAGTGAAATTTAACTTTTACACATTTTTATTAATAGTATATTTACAATTGTTTTCAATATAAAACGTATTTTCATTTATATTGGCATACATTTTCGCGCGAAAAGTCCGTGAATTTTCATTCATGCGGCGCTTATCGCTTAGGGCGTGATTGCCTCGCTTGATTATTACATAAGATCATTACGGGCGATCGCGCGTCATTAGAACGCTCTTATTCCACGGGCGTGGGTGACCGACGTCGGCGTGCCAGGAGAGCCACGATAGTTACGATCGGACAGTTGGTACGTGCCAAGCGTTTGTGCTAGGCGAGGCTAGGCGAAAAGAACAAAGTCTCTGAATCATTTAAAACCTTAAACCCACCCCCGACCCCCTTTAATCCCCTTGTTGTCGCATGACTTATCTCACGATGCGTGTAAAATTAGCAAATGAAAGATAGCATAGGAATTCAAGTGAGAGACGCGTGTGTTTTATATACTCAGAGGCGGAAATCTAACTCTGTAAATTATAAATATTTAGAATATTTGGAATATTTAATATCATGAATGTGTTTCGGAATATTTAATAAAGAACTTTTGATTATTACTCTTTATAATGTTTCCTTCTTTCATCTATTCTATAACTTTATATATATGTATGTATATATATATATATATAT